CTGTATCCTGCTATTATCCTTGTATATATATCCCCTATTCTATTAATGAAAGACACAGTTTACAACACGTTATCAGCACATAAGCTCGAAAAAAAAAAAAAAACCCCTAACCCTAAACTTGACGAGTCCTAGCCGCCTGATCTTGTAGAGCCGCTTTATTTTCTGATCTCACCACCACGTCTTATTCCCAATCTTACCATCACCAACTACGATCAAGCTCGTTGACTTCCGCCTGCAATATTCACATGAGATCTGTTTACTACGTTCATGGCCTAGAATCATTATAATATATTTATATTAGAAGAAGTCCATATTTGATTCTTTGGTTATTATTGTCATGGCACATTGATATGATTTCGCCGCTTGTATTATTGTTTTAAAATTTGGACTTCTTCGTATTAAATTTGACCCACTTTTACAAGTTTACAATTATTTCTTTAAGCTTTACGAAGATCGCTCGTTATAGCTGAATAGTTTTTGTCATGATTAATATTTTATTATTTGATTTGACAAATCGTTTGATATACGAGTTATTTTTGATAGATTAGATCTGATTATCATTAAAATAACCATACGATATCGTTACCTGATGTGTTAATCAAACAGCCATGTTTTTATTCAATGAACCCTCATTAATCGTATGACGAAAAGTTTGTAAAATCATTCATCTAAGTTGGTCTTTAATCAACCGTTGATTTGAGTTCATGTTAAAGTATTTGATTATAGTATTAGTTTCATTACACGAGTCGTATGATATTCCTGAGCATTACTAGTTACGCTTCATAATATTTGTTTCTTGGCATTGATCGTAGTATGAGTTATATTATATTCGCCTCATGCCTGCTATTATCTGAGTTATAATCAACTATTTAATTATACTTCTATAATCTCATAAAAATGCCGAACATGTTTGCTTGTGTGATTCAGATGTCGAACATCCAGAAGGTCGAATTTGAGGCATTCAATGTCTCGGGAGATAACTATCTCCAGTGGGCCCTTGATACTAAAATATTCCTAAACTCAAAGGGGCTAGGTGAATGCATCATTGATGGCAATACCGCATCTACAAAAGATCGGTTTCAGGCGATTTTTCATATACGCCATCACCTAGCCG